TTTTTATGCAGAAATCTTGGATCTACTCCACTACAACGTCGTGTAGTGTTTGAAGAATATGGATCTTTTATAAGGTAGTCAAGTATATATTTATTTTATTTATTTCTAGATTTGTCATTATTAAAAAGTATCTTTGATAGTTCCCTAAAAGGTTGTTACGTAACAGCTGAAGATGTAGGCGTGAAAGGTAGATGACACCTAATTTATCTCGTAAATTTTACGGTTCAAGTTTATTCAGCTCATCTAAACGTACATTATTATTTGATATTATCATTTGATATAGACGATGATATGGCTGCGATATTTTTAAGAACACGGTTCACGACATGTATTCCGCCTCAATATGGTGGTAGTGGTAATCCCAGTTCACCAACGGTATTCATGTTATGATGTAGGTTTCTGATTAATTTCGTGGTACATCTTCAATATAATTAATAATCGTATTATATTGCTTCATATAAAGGCTCGAGGTGTAGTTCGCGCTCTTGAGGCCGCCTTTTCACATCTTGGAAAAAGTTCGTTGCAAGGTGTTACTGTAGCTGTTCAAGTAAATGTTTAACGTCATAATCTTTTAACGTTTCATTTCTTTTTCATTTCAATGTTTAACATACATTGCTTATTTGATGTCACTTTCTTTGACATACAGGGTGTTGGGCATGTGGCTACTGCTTATATACATTATTTGGTTGAAAGGCAAGTTGGACATATAATTGCCTGTGACGTAGATTCTCAAAAGATTAAAGCTGCTGAGAAAACATTTTCTAAGGAAATAAAGGATGGTACTGTTTCGTTTAGATTAGCTAAGGGTAGTGATCATTCAATCTTATATGAAGGTAATATACAGTGTCTCTTTCTAAATTGGATAAATAAATATGTGAATATGAATATCATGTCAATTAATGACAATTAATGTCGTGCTGCTATAGATGTTGATGCTGTTTCCCCATGTGGCATTGGTGGGATTCTTAATACTGAAACTATACCTAACATTAAAGCCAAAATTATATGTGGTGCAGCAAATAATCAATTGCAAGGTATGTGTGTTCAAAAGCTATATATTATCCGGAAATTTACTATTATCAGGCAGAGATAGTTTAAACTACTTTCAATTAACATCTCTGATACTGCCTTATAGATCAGCCCAAGAAATTGAATTCCTCTGAATTCAATTTCTTAGACTGATCTTAAATCTTCAACAAAGTAAACTCGTTATCAGACAGTGCCTGCCTGATAACTTATTATTGAGTATAAATGTGCACTGTGCAATTAATATTTCATTTTCTTTGATTAACACTTTGCTCAGACATATCTAAAGATGGAAAATTGCTTACTGAAAGAGGAATAATTTATGTTCCTGGTGAGTTTTCCATTGATCTAATATTTTGTTTGGTCTTGGAGATAGCCTTATAATAAATAATCTTTTTATTTATGATAGATTTTTTGGCAAATCGAATGGGTAAGACTGAAAAATTTATGCAGTAAAAATAATAATTAGAATTGTTACACAAACTTTGTTGCTTTTCCCATATAGGCATTGTTAATTGTGCTGATGAGGCCTCAGGTTACGTAGAAGATGATCCAATGTTTGAAAAACATCTTGGTGACACTTGGGAGGTTAGTTGAAATGGATCATTTATTTTTATAGTTTGTGAATAATTTACAAAAATGTTGTTTATTTTATTAATTATAATTCATATACGTATAATTTATTCATCTGATTCTAGAATTCTATATACAATCTTACAAAATTTGTTCTTTCAGCTGCTGAAAAAAGTTCGCGCACAACACAGGAAGTAGCAATAGAATTAGCAGAAAAAAGATCATTTGTCAAACATCCTATCTTTGGACATCGCGGAATACAAATTATTAATAGTTTAGTTAATAGCAAAGAGTGGAAGATGAAAATTAATACATGTTAAACTGCTAGATAGTGATTATATAATAAACAGAAATTTCTTTTCAATTGATTTGAATTTATGAACAGTAGATGCGATTATCACATTATTAACGGTTTTGTTAAATCACACTAGTGACGTTAATATCACAATTATTATATTTCAAAGATCATTTAAGCGATTTGTTCTGAGTAAAAACGACCAGCATCCAAAACTCTTTCCTGGCCTTTTTTTAGCCCTAACTTAATCTAATTTCTTAATCCTAATCCTAGATTCTAACAACAAAACTATTGTGCATTACTGTATGGTTTGATAAAAATATAGTTTTTAAAAACAGGAGGCAACTCGAGTTGAATTTTATTGTGGATACGAAAGGGATGAAACTCGCGTTTTTTAGATTACCTTATAAAAGATCCATATTCTTCAAACACTACACGACGTTGTAGTGGAGTAGATCCAAGATTTCTGCATAAAAA